CCCTTCGTCTTCCCTTCAGTTATTGGTAAGTTCTCTTCGTTTTTATTACATCAGTTTTTGCTTTGTTCCTGTTTTTTTTTTTTTTTTCCTCCTTAGTGGCATTTCTGGAGATATTTTCGTTTAATGATACATGCTACTGGATTATGTACACGTCCATGGAATATTCATAATATAAATACAGCTGTATATAAATAAAACGTCTGCTATTCTACGAGAGTTGTGTTTGGCTATTCTAGTAACGGTCTACCTTTGTACATATGGGTACATAAAGTCGCTTTTTTATACATATGGTGAGAGGCGTTCGCCCTTCCCTCCTCGCGCTGCACACAACCGGGGTTTAGTGCGGGGCTTTGTGGGGGTCGCTGAGGGGGCCCGGGGACACCCTCACGCGGAGGTCTGTGGGGGAGGGGCAGTGGGGGGGCGAGGGGGTCACCGAGGGGCGCAGGAGGCCGACCCGCCCCGCCTCCCCCAGGGACACTCCTTCGTCGTCGGGGTCTCTGGCCGCCGACGGGGACAGCCCGCGCACGTCCGCCGGCAGGAGGCGCCCGGCGTCGAACTTGCCGCCCTCGGACTTGAGCAGCTCCGGCCGGTCGAGTCTGAGCGCCTCCTGTCTCAGCAGCTCGGGTCTGATGGCCTCCGGTCTGAGCGCCTCGGGTCTGAGGGCGTCGCGGAGGGGGTCCGCGGCGGGCACGGGCGGCAGGATGGGCAGGCCGGGCGGGTACAGGCGGTAGGCCAAGGGCTTCTGGAGGGCGGCGGCGCGGCGGCCTGGCGGTAGTACAGGTCCACGGAGGCGGCGGCGGGGCTGAGCGCGGCGGCGGCAGCGGCGGCGGCGGCGGCGGAGGACGGCTGGGGCGGGTACGGCCACCCGTACGCGGGCCCGTACAGCCTCTGGAGGGCGGCGTAGTTGCCCGCCTCGGCCAGCAGCTCGAGGCCGACGGCCGTCTGGCGCTTCCACTTCGTCCTGCGGAAGAAGAACGGCGGTCAGGATTTCTCAGTCAGGTTCCTCATTCTCCTACCTCGTTCTCACCCAATGCTGTGCGTCCATGCTATAGAGACCCAACATCCTCATACACTTGGTTGATGTTCCTGTCACAAACTAGATTGTATGAGGATGTTGGGTCTATATATAAGTATCTATAACTAGCAAAAGAGTAACTTGACGCATCTCCTATAAATACCTTCCTCGCGGTGCCAAGAGAACCATAGCAACAGACTCACTACTTCTCTCTCCTTACCCATTCATTACCGAATCGGCGCCGTGACACCTGTGCAAATCAATCACAGCCAATTAATTCTGCCTAATGGATCACAGACGCCCTGTCCTTTACCATATGCATCCCAGATATAAAGTTATCGATCCCCCTACCTGGTCAGCACTCACCTAGAGGGGACTTTATTCGCCGGAAATTGTAAGGTGAAAAAAGACGTAGTTTACGCAGGCGATTTACACACACAAATCACGCCACGGTCTATTCTCTGCACTTGCCTATACCTCTTGTTATTGACTGAATAAATGCACTTCCATGATTAGGGGATGGAATAGCTAATCATGTAAGTACAAGGTTCCACGTGAAATTGTCGGATTGGCGAATAAAGGAATAAATCGATTGGCTTTTATGGTATTTGCTTATCATAGTATTGGCGAGTTGGACAAGCAATCATTTCGTTAGCTATAAAAATTGGGTGAATACATGTCGAGTGTATATATTACCTATAGAGTATTTCATGTTAGTGAACGGAGCGGGACTGATAATAATGTTTTGAAAATGTATGCATGAAAATGGAGAATTTTGTAGTTTTTTCAAATTTTGGTTTCTAGGCTTGTTCATATAATAATAACTGTTCACGTGGATTCTTGTTTATATCTATCTTTTGTGTTTGTATGCTTGTGATGACTGCATTTTTTAAAACTCTATTAAGAATCATCGTGATCTATGTGAAGTAAAAATATTAGCCTCCCCTCGCTTTTCTACCTTTAACATTGATAAATGTATGTCTTATTTATCTAAGCTACCTATTCTCACATTTCTCGACCAGCATTTTCTCTCCCTCTTCTCATTCTGTCTAGCTACCATTTAGAAAGATATCCCCCTCTACCGGACTCTCTCTCTCTCTCTCTCTTCTCTCTCTCTCTCTCTCTCTCTCTCTCTCTCTCTCTCTCTCTCTCTCTCTCGGGGGGGGGGGGTGCGTGTGTGTGTGTTTTTTTTTCCCCCTCCCCCTTTCCCTCTCCCCTTCCCGCCCCCTTCCTCTCCTCCAACACCCCTTCTCTCCCTCTCCCTCTCTCCTCCCTCTCCTTCTCCCCTCTCTCCTCACCTTCTGTTCTGGTACCACGTCTTGACCTGCGTGTCGGTGAGGTTGAGCTTGGCCGCCAGCTCCATGCGGTCCTGCACGCTCAGGTACTTCTGCCGCTCGAAGCTCTTCTCCAGCGTCTGCAGCTGGTGGTCCGTGAAAGCCGTCCGCGCCTTCCGCTGCTTCTTGACGGCGGGGCCCGCGTCGTTGCCTGGCGGGGGGGAGGGGGCGTTATGCAACAGGGCTTGGCGGTTGGTGGGTGGGTGGTTGGGGGGGGTTGCTGTGGGGAGAAAGGGGGGTGTTGTGGGGGGGAGGGTGGTGTTGTTGTGGGGGAGGAGGGTGCAGTAGGAGGAAGGGAGGGTGTAGGGGGAAGGGTTGGGGTGCAGTGGGAGGAAGGGGGCTGTGGGGGTGAAGGGTGGTTGAAGTGGGGGAAGGGGAGGGGTGTAGTGGTGGGGGGGGATGGGTGTAGTGGGGGAAGGGGTGCAGTGGGGAGGAAGGGGAGGAAAGTGGGGAAAGGAGGGTGCACTGGGAAGGGGGGGTGCAGTGAGGGAAGTGGGGTGAAAGGGGGTGTTAGAGGTGGGGAGTGTATATTCAGAATCACAGGCTGCGTGTTATAACTTTGATTTAATGAATTCAAGGTTTGATGATTTACAGTGAATGTAGTTTTTTTTTTATACCGTGGCAACAGCAGCAAGAGCAAAATTAAAACAGGGATACAAGTTAAGAATAGCAGCTTATATCAGTACCAGTTGAATGATAAAATTGTGCCAATCGTAATAGGAGTACTAATACCAATAGCAGTAGGGTCGTACCAACTTAAATAATAATAATGTTAATTTTAGCTCTGCCATTAATACGAAGAGGAAACAGAATAGTGATAAGATCAACATGAATGACAATTACAAAGCATACGATGATTCATATGATCATATTCATTCATAAAGGCTTTTCATCATTAAAGGACTCGACACGGCATTTCAGACATGTTTAATCATGTATTATCATGTGATAAAGATCATGCTTTATATCATAGCATTATCATCAGTGTTGATATTATTATAAATATTATTATTATTACTGTTGTCATTATTATTGTCTTTATTATTACCTTTATTATCATTACTATTAATATCAGCACTAGTGGTAGTAATATTACTAGCATTATTATTATTACTATGTTCATTGTTATTATTATCATTATTATCATTATTATCATCATTATTATTATTATTATTATTATTTTTATTATTATTATTATTATTATTATTATTATTATTATTATCATTATTATCATTATTATCATTATCATCCTCATCATTGTTGCTATCATTATCCCTATTATCCTTGTTCTTACCATTATCATAATTGATATTGAATCTATTTCACCAGATCATGAATTATGTCATATCGTTATTACTACTATTATTATAACTATTAACATTTATCATCATTATTATGATTACAATAAATATTATCATCATTAGGATTGTTACCAATATCATCATTACTGTCGTGACCTTTATGATTATAATTATTATTATCAGTATTTCATTATTGTTATTATCATTACCATTACCATCATTATCATCATCTTTAATAGTGTCTTTATTGTTATTCTCATTATTGTTATAATTATCATCATTATTATCATCATTATTATCATCATTATCATAATCGTCATCATCTTCATCATTATAATCCTTATTAGAATCATCATCATCATTATTATCATTATTACTATCATTATCATCTTTACTATTATTATCATCAATATATTTTCATTAGTAATAGTATCAATATCATTATTACTAATAACAATAATAATGGTGATGAAGTAGACAAAGATAATGACAATAATAATCACATTAATGGTAATAATAATAATGATAAGTGACAAAAATAATGATAATGATAATAATGATAATCATAATAACAACAACAATAATAATGACAATAACAGTAACGAAAATTATTGTGATAGAACACAATATTATGATGATAATAATCATAACAATACTATGATAATCATGATGATAATGATATTGATAACAACAAAAAGAAATATAAATAAATAATATTGATTATTATCTTCATTATTATCATTATTACTAATATTGTTATGATAATGACAATAATAACAATAAATGATAATAATAGTAATTGTATTCGGAATAAAATTGATAATAATGATAATAACATAAATAACAATGATAATAATGACAATGATAATCAGACAATGATAATGATGGTAATAATGATAATGATAATGGGAGCAGTAATAATAATAATGATAACAACACTAATAGTAATAATGATAGTACTACTACTAACAATAAAAAAGATAATAATAATGAAAAGTAATAGTGACGAAAATGATGATTAAGATATTAATGATGCTATTTATGATAATAATAATAATAATGATGTGATAGTCAAAAATAAATGACATTATCATAATGATAATAAAATAATAATAATAATAATAATAATAATGATAACGGTAATGCTATCAACGGTGATAATATTGATAATATTAGTAATAATGATAATAATAATAATAGAAAAAATAATAACAACAATGATAATAATAATAGTAATAATAACAATAATAATGATGATGATGATGATGATAATAGTAATGATAATGATAACAACAATAATGATAATTATAATGAAAATAAATAATGAAATAAATAATAATAATAATAATAATAATAATAATAATAATAATAATAATAATAATAATAATAATATAATAATAATAATGATAATAATATAATGATAATAATAATAATAATAATGATAATGTTGATGATAATAATAATAATGATAATGATAATAATGATAATGATAATAATAATGATAATAACAGTAATCATAAAAAATGAGTAATCATGACATTAATAATAATAATAACAATAACGATAATAATGATAATAATGATGATGATAATTATAACAATAATAATAATGATAATGATAATAATATGATAAATACAGTAACAATAATAACATCAATACCAATAATCTCAATGATGATGATAATGATAATAATTGATAATGGTAATAATTATGATAACAATAATGATAATAATAATAGTAATAATAATAACAAATAATGATAATAGTAATAATAACAATGATAATTATCAAAATTTATGATAATAGGAAGAAGAACAATGAAAATAATAATAATGATAACAATAATGAAAATTATAAATGATAACAATAATAATATAATAGTAACAAACAATAAATAATAAATAATAATAATAATAATAATAATAATAATAATAATAATAATAATAATAATAATAATACCATTAGTAGTAGTGGTAGTATTACTATATTATTATATTTTTTATCATTTCAATATTATTGCTATCATCATGATTTTCGTTAGCATTATTAATGCTATTACTAATATCATTATTATCATTATCATTATATTGATTAGTGTTACTGTTAAAGTTATTCATAATAATCATCATTCATCATTACTATTGTCATCATTATCACATTATTCATCATAACCATTATCTTATCATTACCATTATCATTATATAGAAAATGATAATGATATTAATAATAATAATGATAATAATAATAATTAATTATTATTATCATTTATAAATAATATAATAATAATAATGATAATAATTAATAATGATAATAAGATAATAATATAATAATAATAATAATAATAATAATAATTAATAATAATAATAATAATAATGATTAATAACATAATAATAATAACAACAACAATAATAATGATAATAAAACATCAATGATAATAATGATAATGCTAACAATGATAATAAACACGATGAATCCAATGACGGTATTATATATCGTTGTCACATTAGTTATAATAATAACGGTAATGACTACACAATAATCATATTTGTGATATAATCTAGCTAATGACAGAGGTAATATAACTGATAATAATACTGAAAATGATGCCTGTGAAATGGATACTGATAATGCGTGTGCCAGTCGTTTTAAAATGATATTTGTATCCAATATAAAACTATCTATCTGTCTGTCTGTATCTATTTATCTTTCTCCCTCTCTTTATCTCTCTCTCTTCTATCTATCTCTCTTCTCTCTCTCTCTCTCTTCTCTCTCTCTCTCTCTCTCTCTCTCTCTCTCTCTCTCTCTCTCTCTCTCTCTCTCTATATATATATATATATATTATATATATGTATATATATATATATATATATATATATATATATATATATATATATTATATAATATATATTCTCTCTTCTTTCTTCTTCTTCTTCTCCTTCTTCTACTTCTTTTCTTTCTTTCTTTTTCTCATACCTCTTCTTCTTCTTCTTCTCTTCTTCTTCTTCTTCTTTCTTCTTCTTCTTCTTCTTTTATAGCACTCCAGTTCGATTTATGATAACATGTATTCTTAAAATAACAATGAAATCGAAATATGTATATATTAAATTCGTGTATTTTCTGTTTCTATCGTTTATAAGCTGTTCAGTGGTTATTCAGAGAACAATTTTCAGCTTAGAATGTTCTTTTTTTGACATTTAAGAGTTGAATTAGAATAAAAAATACAGTGTTCTTGTACCCTCCCCCCCTCCCCCCTCTCTCCCCTCTCCCCTCCTCCTCACTTAGGAATAAACATGTGATGAAGAATGGAGAAGGAGGAGGAGAGGAGGAGGAGGAGGAAGGAGGAGGAGGAGGAGGAGGGAGGAGGAGGAGGAGGAGGAGGAGAGGAGGAGGAGGAGGAAGAGGGAGGAGGAGGAGGAGGAGGGAGGAGGAGGAGAGGAGGAGGGGAGGAGGAGGGGGGGCAGGAGTGACAAAGAGGAGGAGGAGAGGAGAAAAAAAAGGAGAGGAAGGAGAGAAGAAGAAGAGGCTGAAGAAGAAGAAGAAGAGAAGAAGAGAAATTGAATAAAGAAAAAGGAGAAATTGATGAAAGAAGAAAGGAAGAAGAAGAAGAAGGAGAAGAGCGAGGATGAAACTCGGGAGGGGATTACAAGAAAGAAAAGGGGGAAGAAAGAGGTAAAGAGGGAGGAGAAGAAGAAAAAAGAAAAATATATATATATATATATATATATATATATATAATATATATATATATATATATATATATATATATATTATATATATATATATATATATATACATTATATATATATATATATATATATATATATATATATATATATATATATATATATAT